TAGATACTGGCTGGCTCAGTCATGAAGTTCTCCGCGAGGTCGTCACAGTGTCGAAGAAAGCCAGCCCTCACGCATTTACGTTTAGTACATGCACTTGCTGCTACACATACCCATTTGCATATCTTCATACATATGCGTGCCGCCAAATATGTGGGCGAAATAACCCACCGATTGTACAAGCGGATAAAAGCGTCGATATAACGAAAAGGGGCGAAAGGAACAAGCAAAAAAATACGGATTTCATGCGATATTTCGTGAAGGCCTTTTTCTCTAATTTGCCAAAATGGTGAAGAAAAAAGTTAATGAAAATATTTTTATATCCTTTTATTGCGCCTTTGTCATTGTGCCATTTTCAGCTGTTTTTTTTTTTTTTTTTAAACTTGTATGATATTATTTATGGCGTATACAAATACACGTTTGAAGCAAAGGGAACAAATTATTAAGCAAAAGGTTTGTCATTTGGTTTTTTTATGCCATTTAGCGATTTTCTCTGCTTATTTTCTCCATCCCGTTAAGATTATTAACAAAAGGGAAGTAAAAATATGCTTATAAGTTACGTAAATAAAAACCCACATGTAATAAACACCGCTCCAAACTCTTCAGTACATTCTCTTGAAAAAAACGATCCAGCCAGTAAGTTTTATCTCCACTACTTACCATTTATCATTTTACCATTTACATTCTCCAATTTTTGACGTGTGCGTTTTTATGTACATATTGTTACGAAAAATAAACACGCGTAGAAATATTTAAAACTCCTTACCTTTGCTTCTTCACAAATGTAATTACAAAAGGGAAAAAGAAAAAAAAATAATATAATAAAATGCAGAAACAACTAACAGCGAGAACAACCAGTTAAGCAGTCTTTCGCCGCGACCTTTTTGCGCAACTCTTTTTCTTGACCTTTTCAGGGATGAAATGAGTGAAGAAAGGCGCACCAAATGGAAAGTGGGAGAAATCAATGAATAAATAAATAAATGTATAGTGGCCTACCTATGTATATATGCACTAATTTGTGTACCCTTTCATGTATGACTACCGCGATCGCCACGTGACCATGCGCACACCCCGAGTGCCTCGTTTGCACGTTAAAGGAAAACACTTTTTTTCCATTCCTCCAAAAGGTGTGATAAGCTCGCAGGCAAAAATATAAAAACCCACGCGGACGGATAACTGAATTTGTACCTTCGCAGTATACTTCCCCATTTTGCGCTCGGTATTTTCTTACATCGCAACGATAGTTCGCTCCCCGGAGTGCATATTTGCCGCCATACCGCCTGTTGAGAAAGTTCGACTAACTTCGCATTTACGGCGTGGTTACTCGTGTGCGCAACTGTATGTGCGGAGGTCAGCAAAGGTGTGTTCCTTTCCCGAAGCGACGCGTCCGTCAAGTAGCACGACAAGCACATAACCGCCTAACAGCCTAACGACTTAGCAGCCTAACCGCTTAGAAGCTCCCTCCTCCAAAATGAAAATAAAAGTAAGAACGCTTCAGAACAACGAAGAAGAAATCAGTGTGGACAATGATGACACCATTTTAGATGTGAAAAAAAAGATAGAGGTGGCATTCCCCGAAATGCCGTGCGATAAACAGAAGCTCATTTTTAGTGGAAATATATTGACGGACGAAAGCAAAGCAGTGGATATATTAAAAGAAAACGACATAGTTATAGTTATGGCGTGTAAAAAGGTATTTACTTCGACGAAGAACAATCAGACGAAGGAATCATCATCGACAAATGTTTTAAAAAATAAGGAAAAGACTCTTTTGCCGACAAATTATGACCAGAAGAATGCCGCTTCAAATGCATCAGAGGAGGGAAGAGAAAGCAAAAATCTCAATAACGCCGAATCAGCCCTAGTCATTGGGGAAAAGCTAAAAGAGACCATAGACAATATCTGCGCTATGGGATTCGAAAGAGAAGCCGTAAGGAAGGCCATGATGGTGGCGTTTAACAACCCCAACAGGGCGATTGATTATTTGACAAACGGCTTTCCAGACGAAAGCGAAGTGAACGAGATAAGTTCAATCAATACACTGAATGGGATGAACGAAATGGACGCCGCGAACCAAATGGACGGCGCCAACCCACCGAACGAGACCAACGAAACGAATGAAACCAACGAGAACTCCTACGAAAGGGAAGATAACGACAATGCTCCCAATTTGCCAAACCTTTTAAATAATTATAACGCCCTTGCAGAGAACTCGAGGCAATCCGTACCAGACAATGCAGATCAGTTTAGAAATTCCCCATTTTTTAATATCCTACGAGATGTAGCTTTATCGAATCCACAGCGCATTCCAGAGATTTTAGAAATGATCGGAAGAACCGATCCTTCCTTTTTAGAATTTATTCGAGAGAACCAAGGGGAATTTATAAGGGCCATTCAGAATTATGGGAATAATGACCAGACAGGTAACACAGAAAATGATTTAATGGCAGGTGAAGCATTTGCCGATCAAGGGAATCAGAATATTACCGATCCGAATAATGAAAATTTTCATATTCCCATTACGCCTTTAAATGAGAACGAAATGGAGAGTATTAAAAAGTTGGAATCGCTTGGGTTCCCGAAGCACTTAGCGTTGGAAGCCTTCATTGCTTGTGATAAGAATGAGGAAATGGCGGCCAACTATTTGTTTGAGAATATGAATGACTACGCCTCTGAGTAGGGTCAGGGGAGTCATTTGGCGGGCATGTTTTTCGGTTCGTAGGAGGAAACGTGCATCCTCAGCTGGTGAGTCCTCCGCCTGTTGAATCATCAGCGTGGTGAATTCCCAACATGGTGAATCCTCAGCGTGGTGAATTCCCATCATGGTGAATCCTCAGCTGAAGAATCCCCAGCATGGGTGAACCATCTGCCAAGTGGACCCCTTGCAACGTGACATGCGTTGCTATGCCCGTACCGCACCCATTTGTGCGCGTGCCGATGCAGCTTTTTCAGCCCTACCTAATTTCACGCGTAAATACCCCATTCGGGGGAATCTCATTTCGGTGTAAAGTAGTGTTTAGATCAAATGCACTGATTTTTTTCCCCCATTTTTTTATTTTTTTAAGTCCTTCCCCTCCCAGTATATTGTGTATGCTTCTTTTTCCTTCTTTTTAAAAAGAATTTCCTTGGCACAACTTTTTACATATGTAGTACATTTTACGTTTGCTTAATGGCATTATGTAATTGTTACAATATCGTTTTGGTTAACTTTTCGTAAATGAGTTCAAAAATATTCCGATTCGAGCGGGTTGTTTATTCGTTTATTTTCCTTTCCGTGGGGCAGGAGATTTTTCTCTTTCGAGGTGACGAAACGCTTTTGCATTAGCAGAAGTGCTGTTCCTGTGAAGAAGGGATGTACATACATCCGTATATACATACATATTTACATACAATTGTATGCATATGTATATGCCCGCTGTGGGCAAATGTTTACGCAATTTTGTTACGCGATTTTTCGCACAGATATTATGCGCTCCTGATGAGGATGATGAATCATGACATGTCTGCCGCCCCCTCGAAGCGGTAATCGGAAAAAAAAAACCCTCTCTAATCCGGTTGGCAAAAGATTAATCCTTTCATACATCTTCCCTCCAATAGGGCGCCTGAAATATTGAATCAGTCGTGCCACCCTACAATATACGCACGCAACAACCAAGACATCCATTTGTGCCAATTATTGTGTGCATATCCTTCATGAGTACTTTTGCACTGCCGCGCTCCTGGAAGGGGGAAATTTAAAGAAAAAAAATTCCTCTCCAATTTGACAGATTTGGATCAACTTTCCTTTTCGCGAATAACGTAGTCGCTTTGCATTTTTTTGTGCCAACAGATGGCTATGAAAGTAAGTCAAAAGGAGCAAATATCATCAAGTATATTTAAACGAAAAAGGTGGAAAAACCCCAAATTAACCGCTTCCATGCTCCAAGAATGACATCAAATTGACAAGAGCTCCCAAAATTTACATACAACTCACCACATCGGCCCCCTTATTTTACGTAGACAAAATTTGGCCTCTTCAGCCATGTAAGAAAAATTTACAGAGGCAATCGCATGTACGTATATGCAAGGCAGCGCTCAACGGGCTTCTTCACGCGCGTTGCGAGTGTATCTCTATCCATATGCGCTTATGTACATGATTGTACACATACCAGCTTCTCCTTGTCAAAACGCGACTGCTTGAAAAATCGTAATTTTTAAAAAATGAACTTTCCCTTAAACACCTTGCCATATTTTGTTGTAAACTTCTGCAGCAATATACATAGTGGGGAAAACATATTTTTTTAGCATGTTGTGTGGAAATTGTTCCAAAATGATTGGTTTTTCTGCAAAGTTTTTTTTTTTTTTTTTTTTTATTTTGGTAAACTGCCGTACATTTACACCACTTTTATTTTCTCCTCTGAGTTGCAAAGGGGTGGCGGGGGCAGGCATAGCACAGTTGGCGATCGCACGTTGTAATAGAGGTACATGTTTAAAAGAACGATTTTTTTTCACTCTACATTATTAAATAAAAGGCAGAAAGGGGGGCGGTACAAGTCCGCATTGCTGAGAAAGCAACAGTAAAACGATGGGTTTTATGTTGATTATCTCCTCTTTTTTGCGAATAAAATGAGGAGAAAAGGCGACTCGCCATGAAATATGATTCCGCAGGTCAGGCCGATTGCAAATTGCCCAACATAAAAAATTCCCCTTTTACGCCCCTTTTGGAGCAAAATATAAATTCCCATAAACCCCCCATGCAATTTTTCAGTACAGGGGGTGACAAGAAGGGAACAAAAAAAGGGGGAACGGAACAGATGATGTATTTTTTCTCATTTATAATATGTCAACCTGTCATGCGGTAACGCCTCTATTATCCTAACGTGCCTTGGGCGCGAGCTTTGGTGTTGCTTATTCGGGTCAGATAGCCCCACTCTGAGGAGGTCCACAAAAACAATGTCACTGCGCATATGTAACTACCCACTTGCATACGGAATGGGGCACATAGAAGGGGGGCCTGCGCCCGTGGGGTGCATACAGCAGTGCGCAGTTGGCAGTGGTAACTGGGATATACCTATTGTACCTTTCCCAAAAACGCGTACACCAGGATTGGGTAGAGCAGATATATATACCCATATCCCTTTGTTAACCGAATGGATCAACTTTTTTTTTTTTTTTTTGCCTTCGTTGGCAGCTTATTATATTCTTGCGGGATATTTGACGCAGAAAAAATTGCTTCGCCACGCGCAAAGCCAAAATAGGGCATACCAAATTGTAAACATATCCATAAAATAGGAAACGACTCTATACAAAATTTGCTAACATAGGTAGTTAAAGAAAACACCCATGCGAGCCCACTTGTTTCTTTTTCATCTCATTTGAAGCACCTATAACCCGTTTTCCTCTGTGCCTATGTCCCCAAACGCAACTGTGCATTATTAGGTAATGCCACATTAATAGGCCAAACAAGTTAACGACAATGTTATAACATGGCGAAACGAACAAATTAAAAAATGGTAAAAATGGTACAGCAGTCCAGAGAGTAAGTACCACAGTACAACATTGCGTACTTATTGTGCTCAAAAAAGTACCCCAGCGCAAACGCAAAATGGATACTACCTCGGTATAGCAGTACATACGTGCGTTTTACATATACATATATTATATACATATATATATATATTCGTGTATGTACCTAATAGGGACAAGAAGGATAAGCTTAATCCAACATATGTGCTACCGTATACTTTTTAAGCATTTCGTATTCCTGTGCACCCCAGCCAAAAGAGCATACTTTTTTTTTTTTCCACTTTACCTTTTCCGCATATTGAATAAAACATTTGTTACTTCTTACATTTTTACATTTACGATGTCATCATCCGTATATCAATCTGCATATCCATCAATCCATACATTATCCATTTAATTAATTTTTTATTTTTTTGACCAATAAATATAAAAAAAAAATACATATACAAAGAGATAAGTATATATATACAATAGTATTATTTGTTTATGCGTGTTCACCAAATTCAAATATACATATGTACCATGCGCATATATTTATATACCATGTAAAATTTACAAGAAAAGTAAAATATGCGAGTGAACAGTATATGTTCGCGTTAAGTATACATATATAGGTTGTTAATTTACGTACTTGTTTTTTTAAGAAGCCAATTTTTCTTAAAGGAAAAAGAAGTATATGAGAAATTTTTACAAATGTGACTGCTGCGCGGGTCTTAATGCTTCACCACCCCCTACAATTCGTCAATGCGCGTGACCCACATACATTTCGTACGTTTAGCAGCCCTACATTGACCGGCACATACCATCTACGCGCGATGCCAAAGAGTCAACGTAGCGTAGCACCACAAATGAGAGTACTCAGTATCATCTAACGTGCCTTTCGCGCATCTGTAGAAGTGCATGTACAGAATGTGATTCAGCATTCAAACGCCAGCCACGCACGTGTATACAGTTGCATATAAGTATACACCTAACGGTGTATACCCTTCCCCCCCCCATGTTTGTACATATGCGTCGTAGCAAATATATGTACAGGACGCAAGCGTATATTTTGTACACGTGCATTTGTTTCAAGAACAAATCGTAAAAGCATAAGTGAGAACTGTGGGAAAGATAAAATAAAATATCGACCGGAAAGAATAAATTATTCTATTTATTTAATGCGACATTACCTGTTCATAACCGCCTTTTGGTTACTTTTTTTTTTTTTTACTTAAAATTTTTTTATTTTAATGAATATACATATAAACGCGTAATCGTACAATTGCGCAAACGTAAACCTGGGTGAATCTCCTGCCCGCTAGCTCCTCTTTTGTGTACATAATTTTGTAAAAAAAAGAGCACGCATCAGCGACCTCCAGCATCATCATATATGTCCACATTTTATAATATTCATTTTACTATTGTTAAGAGTATGTATTGAAAGAGAGAATCAAAAATGCAAATATGAATTACTAACACACGTTGCCCCCCCTTCCCCTCGCCACCCATTTGCTGTTATAGTCATTTCATGTTCAGCGCTGTTTTTCATTTTTCTTGAAAGAGTAACTGCGTCTGCGCCTGTGCGCCGTGTGTTCGTGCTTACGCCTGTTTGCGAATCTGCCCGTTGGCGAATTTTCCCGTTTGCCCCTTTTCGTCTTTTCATTTGCTGTATCCCCCCTGAGAAGAGAAAAAGGAATATAATATGCGCAACATTTCCACAGTCCCATTTGAACGGTTTGAAAATTAAATTCATATTTGAAAGGACCGTTACGCAGTGACGCTGCCGTTTGAAGAAGCGCCCCGGTGAGTTGGACTATTCGCGCACGCATGCATGTATAGGTTTATATAATACTTATGCATAAAATATATACATACACGTATATACACACATATACATATTTATCCATGTACGTATAATAGCGACGCGGCTATATATACAGATAGATACTCCTCCCCGTGTGCCCGGACGTACGGAGTATAGACGAATGCCCTGTGTATGCTTGGAATGAACCTCCAAGCGACGCGAAACGAGCTAAGAATCGTACATTCATAAGGCGGCCACGAAGGTGCATATTTTATCTGAGCACAATCGCACCTATATATAAGAGCAAAAGTGAGTTGTCACTGCCTCCCAGGAAGCCAAAAAATATTTCCCTTGGCTGTCATAAGGCAGAAATTTATCCGAACAAGAAACAGCGCGGAAGTATCCACCCCCTTATCAACGTAGCTGCAGGAAGCGAAACGTTGCCAAGTAATTCAGCGAAAAAAAAGAAAAAAAAACGACAACAAAATGAAGGAGAGAAAAAGAAAATAACAGATTAATGTTTTATATATATATATATTTTTTTTTACTTCTTACCGTGTTGAATTTCCGTTAATGTACGTCTTTGCTCTGCTGCTGCTACATTACCTGTCTACCTCTTTGAGCAGTCGGTACGTCGAGCGTAGTAGGTGTTTTTTTCTTTCTGCCCTTTTGCCCCATTGATTCATATGCATATTTAAGTTTTTCTCATACCGTGTGAGAGTCACCGCGTTGTGGAGGAGCTAACCCATTGCAGGCAGCTCGGCAGTGCTCCATACACTTGCATTTTTGCACATCTGCGTATGCGCCAATCGGCACCCCCCCTTGGAACCCTCCTACAGAATGAACTTCATCACGAGAATAGGAAAGAAAGCCAAGGCCGCCGCCGCGGCGGTGGTTGAAGAGAAGCCAGCCAAGGAAAACAACTTGAAGGAGAACGCGGTGAACGATAAGAAGCAGGCAGCTCCCAAGGCAACCGAGAAGGGAGAAAAAAACCAGAAGGCTCCCAAAAATGATAAGAAGATCACCCCCAGCACGGAAGACGAAGGAGCGGCAAATGTGCAACTTAATGGAAGCGTAAACAAGAAGGAAAACGAAACGGACGGTAAGAAGAACAACGCCAGTGGTGCAAATGACAGTAAAGCTGAGCAAAACGAGAATGCTCCACAGAAGAAGAAGAAAGTCAACAAGAATAGCAAGAAGGAGGCTGCTTCTCCGGGGAATCTAAACGAGGACTCCATGGAGGAGGAGAAGGTGAACGAGAGCCTCGCGCAGGTCAAGCCGAAAGGTGCGAAGAAGGATGAGGCGAAGAAGGTCGACGGGAAGAAGGCTGATGCGAAGAAGGACGACGTGAAAAAGGTCGACGGAAAGAAGGCCGATACGAAGAGAGCCGATGCGACGAAAACCGATGTGAAGAAGACCGATGCGAAGCAGACCGATGCGAAGCAGACCGATGCGAAGAACGGCAATGCAAAGAACACCGACGTGATGAATGATGAACCCAAGAAGGACATGAAAAAGGAACTCAAGCTGAAGGAAGACGAAAGGAAAAAAATCGAAAACGATTTAAACAAGAAGTTTCAAAAGTTTAGCAAACAGGATAACAGTAAAAATATCAACGACAAGATGGAGGCAGAAGTAAAGAGAAAAAGCGAGTACGAAAATTTAATCACCTCAATTAATACCTCCATTTCGAAGCTAAATGCACAGACACCGAGGCCGACTAACATGAAAATGTCCGCAGCAGATGTAGAAAACAAATGCAAAGAAGCGAAACTGAAGAAGAAAAAAATGAACCCCAAGAATGAAGAAGAAATGGAAGAAGTAAACACTTATATTAACTACCTAGAGGAACAATTAAATATAACAAAAAATTACGAAAGCTTTAAAAATTTTCAAAACAGACTCATCACTTTGAGAAAGTCATGTGAGGAGAAGCTAAAAGAGAATGTGAAGAGTCTGTCCGAAATTAAAGTGCAAGAAAAGAAACTACGCTTTGTTGATAAAATTATAAAATTTAAAAAGGAGAAACATAATGTAACCATTGTGGAGGCAGACATCACGAACAAAGAATTTGTCATGGCTAGTGATAAATACAACCAGTTAATTAAGCCATTCAATTTTATTAATAAGATTCAGAGTAAATATGTCGTGTATGTGGACAAAGTGAATAACAATAACTTTGAGAATAAAGTGTCGTTATTCATTTCAGGGTGCCGAGAAGATATAGAAAATTTCATAACGCACATAAAGAATCTCGACTTAACGGAAAAAAATTACTTATATATGCCAAACAGGACCTTTAAATCCATGCTGAATATGCATGAAGGTAGCTTCAGAAAAATGGAAGAAGACACAAATGTCCTGCTGCACATAGATAATGACACGTTATACTACTGCGGAATGAAGAGTGATATAGAACGCTTAAAAGAAATAATCGAAAAGGCCAACACTGAACAAAGTGCTAACACGAAGAATATTTCCAAAGATATCAAACTAGATTCTGTTCTCGGAAGAGGATTCAACAAAAGTTTATTAAAAGGGATAGAGGCGAAAACCAACACATTTATCCGCATGAATTACGATTCCAAGAGTTTCGAAGCCTGGGCTACCATCAAGGGGAATAAAAGCAGCGACGTAGAAGAAGCGGAGGAGAAACTCAACGAAATTATAAACGGATTAGAATCCAAATTTGTCGAATTCGATGAAAGAGAAATGTTTAATTTGTACAAGAGATGTGCCTACGAATTGAATGACATAAAAATGAATTTGAATCTCTTTGTCGTACGTCATGACAATGGCATTAGCCTCGTAGGAAAAGGAGAAAACATTCAGAAGGGATTAGAAATTTTGGATTATGTCAAAAATGTCATATCCGCTAAATCGGTGAAGAAAAAAGTAACTGAGGAAGAAGCCTACCTTTTCAACGCCAACTACAGAAACTACATCAAGGCACAAACTGGCGCCGAGGTAAAAATATTTAACAAAACGAATTATAAAGAATTAAACATCAGTGGGAATAAGAACGATATAGACAATGCTTTGCAATTAATCGATGAGTTACTAGAGAAGAGAAAATGTGTACATGTCGAAATTACCGAAAAGGTAATTGCCATGCTCCTGTCAGCCAAAGCACACAAAATCAAAGAAATAGAAAAAGACACATCCACAAGTATTCAGATAAACAAAAATAACCACGTGGCACAGATTTATGGACATGAAGAAAATATTGCCCTAGCTAAGGAGGTTTTGCAAAACTTGTTGCAATCGGATGATAAAGAAGAAAAATATAATACCAATAATAATTACATCACGGTCGAAATGGTTGTCGATACGGAACACATTGGAAGCATTATTGGAAAGAAAGGTAGAACCATTAATAAAATCCAGGAAGAAACATTTGCCAGAAAAATACACATCGATAAGGATACAAAGAAGGTCCTAATTCAAGGCACTCCAAAAACGGTCGAGGCGGCCCAGAAGGAAATCTTAAAAATTCTTAACAGAAGCAAAGAAGAAAACGGCCAGAATAATACATACCAGAATGATCGTTATAAAAACTTCAGTCATTCGCTCACACCGAATAGGAGGAGCCCTTACCAGAGCGGCAGCAACAACACCAGGTCAGGCAACAGGTCTTCTCACCGACCCGATTCGGCCAAAAACGGCGTGTACATAAACACGAATGATGAGAAGGCCTTCCCCAGCCTCCACGACGTCAGTAACATTCAATCCAGGAAGACGAAGAAGGCCATCAACCAGGCTAACGTGAAGAGGCAAGACGAACAGCAGCAGGCAGCTGAAGCGGCGACGGCCGACAAGCAGTAGGCGACGTTGTTAATGACCTTTGGGGGACGAGGCTTCCACGCACATATTACGGCTTTTATTACTTTTCTCCACTCCAGTTACGGTTTACCACCCCCCGCTCCAATTTTACAGTTCCCTTTTTTTCGACACGCATACGCGCAAGTATATATGTGCCTAGATAGTGCGACCGCGCGAACAGGCCACATATAAGTGGCAACTCCCCTTCCCCCCAGGTATGTACAGGCAAGTACATATTGGAGTGCGCGAGCGTACTACCACGTATATTTGTATGCTTTTTGAAGTTTAAATTGTATGTGCGCGCAATTGCCCAATTTCAGAATTCAACGTATACATAATATTTGTATTGAGCGATTGCAAGCGCGATGGGCAGTTCCTCGAAAGGAGCGAAGCAGAAATGAAAAAAAATAAAAAAAATACAAAAAAATAAAAAAAAAAACAAAAAATAAAAATAAAAAAAAAGCCAAAAATTAAAAAAAATTAAAAAAGCAAAAAAAAGCAAAAAACAAAAAGGTAAAAACAAGCAAAAAAATCAAAATAAAAAAAAAAACAAAGGAAGCGAAGCTGAACAAAACATAACAAAACGCACGCATCATTACAACACACATTTACAACGTGCATTTACAACACACCTCCACCATCACTACTACCACCACCCCAACACACCATATGCCCAAATGACAGAAAGTCACTTGCCACTGTCCACCATACATAAAGCGTACGCATGGCAAACCCAGACCACGTGCGCACACACGTATGCTCCATTTTGCAATTCCTCCTCTTCTATTGTTTTAATTTTTAACATTTAAATTAAAGTTGCACATTATTTATACGAAGTTTATGTCCCAAAATAAAAAATTTAACCTCGTCAATTTTAAACTATACCATTTAAAACTATACCATTTTAAACTATTCCATTTTAAAACTAGACCATTTTAAAAATATACCATTTTAAGACTATACCATTTTTAACATATCCATTAGAGCTTTCCATTTGTTGGCTGCTCCGTGCAGGTGGAAAGATTAAAGAGCCATGGCAGAGTGGCAGTTCTGTGCGTGCACTTATTGTTTTGTTCCTCCCCCCCCGGAGTGATGCCCCCATGCCTTTTAAGCAATTGGGATAGCCTCGGGTTAAGTGTTCCGATTACGCAGCGGTTTATACGTGGCCCCTACTGTGCATCGTGAAAACCGCTTCACCCAAATGCCCCTTTTTTTGTAGTCGCACAGGTGAGGGTAAACCCGCGCATAATTTCTCACTCAAAATGAAATAACCCTTTGGGAATATTCACATCGGATGGAAAAGACAAATAACGCAATTTCCGGAGATGACCCCTCCACATTGATAATTAATTAACTGTTAAACTGCGCCTCATTTCGGCTCGGCTCATCTGAGCTCATCTGAACTTTTCTTTTTTCCCTCTCCATGTTCGAAGCAACCACTGTAAACACCGCATATCTATTTTTGTGAGGACCCAAAAATCGCTATATATAGTATTTACGGCATGAAGCTGAAGAACGTCCGAAAGGTCTGCCTCAGCAGATTGCAAACTTTCGAGTGAAATAGAAAAAACAGTTTCATTTTTGTCGTCTTAATTTGAGGTTAAAAAGTGGAAGGTTTGGCATACGTCACAGTATAAGGAATATGCCCAAAATGAACTACAAAAAAAAAGAATGAACTCACTGGAGAGTAAAAGGGACAAACGCTTAAAAAGGGTGTCCAATAAAATGACACAAAAATTACATAGCGAGGTGACTACAGAAACATAAACTCAGAAGAATGGATGAAATCCTAAAAGTTTTCACTCGCTACTCTTTCGTTTGTTGAAAATGCTTCGTCAATATCATCATTTTATCTGTCGCGTCATGCAAACCGGACAGAAAATTGTCCTTGTCCCATCTGCTCCATTTCCTGCTCATCTTGTTCAGGCAGAACTAAACAGGGGAGGGGAAAAAAAAATGCACACATAGACATGTGTATTGGGGTAGATCTCTTTTACTATGCAACAGAACAAAATGGCAACATAAAAAAAGCAGGCAGCATTTTCGCACCCCAATGTACACTCAGTCAGTTGCATTGTTGTGAAATTATTTGGCCATTCTCTTCTCTCCTTCTCCGCCCATGTTTTTACGGCGCGCAAATGGGAAATATACGTAGCGTTTTACATGCCCCTTTTTAATCACCAAGATTTTAAGCAGTCAGACGCCGCACGCCACACACCGCAAGTGGATTCACTCATAGGCTCGAAATGGAGAAGACAAATCATTCCGCGAACATCATAGATCATCTCGTAACTACTCACCTCAAAGTTGGCAACATCTGGAACGTACTGGGATGATTTCAGTTTTTTGATAATATTTAAATATTTGCAAATGCTGTTTAGCAAATGCTCCTTGTTCAAATGGAAGCTTTTGTAAAATAAGTATGCATGCGCTAAAAATTCTGTGAGGGGTGCGGAGAATGCCCAAAGGGGAGTCATGTACCGATCGATTTGATACAAATTCGTTTAGGCGACGTGTCCTCAATATAGATATCGCTTCTCCATTAACGCACGTTCTTTACACGACCTCACGTACTCACTCATAAAAAAAGTAGTCAAAAAAAAAGAAAAAAAAATGAACACAGTAAAATGGGATTGTGACCCCACCTCAATCACTTATGGAGACTTTGTTTTTTTTTCCTTATTTGAACGCATTGCACATTTTTTCACTTTTCTTATGATTACTTATTTTGTTTTTTTGGGATAACTCCTCCAGGTGTGAGATGTACTCCCTGCCGTATGGGCTGACCGTGACGTCGTCGCAGTTCTGCAGGTTGGTAGGGTATATGCATACATGGGTAGGTGAGCACGCGGGAAAACGAATGGGTGGAAGCGTGGGAAAAGACGCAGAACGATCACATCGCTCACAACGCTCCCACATCATGTAGCCGCTTCACGAAGGCTCACCTCAACCACCGACGTCAAATAGACAATATCGTCGTAGAGGTGGTTTGTCAACAGCATGGGCCCCGTGTACGTAAGGAGGGAGAAATCCTCCTTGTAAATCAAAAATAATTCATCAATTTTTAGGAAGATGTTGTATAAGTCGATGAGGAATTGCATAAAGGTCTGAACGGAGAGAAGGGAGTAGGGGAAGAATAAAATGCGTGGGTGATACACACTAACGCAATTTCGTCCGAAAACAGCAAATTGCTCCGCAGAGATCAGCGTGCAATGAATATAGATAACTATTTATTTATCCTTCCATATGAGGACGATCTTTTTGGAAAAGGGGCAACCTACCCGTCTGCTAAAGCTCGTGTTATAATCATTGATGTTCCGAAACAGTTGTCGATATTTCTCCCGCTCCTTCAGTTTCTCATTTTCTATTTTGGCTAGCGTAGGGAACACTTCATTCCTGACGAAGAGGCTTTTTTCAAACGGAGCAGAGGAGTACGCAATGTGTATAAAAATTTACATACATTAAATTCCGCACGAAGGTTGGGCAAATTTCTCAAGACAGTTATATATACAAATAACATAGCAGACGGGGGGAAGTGAAAAAAAACAAAAAAAAAAGGAGCAGACGTACAAATTATCATGATAATTATATGCATCCTTCACATTGTAGTTAATATTATTTTTGTCTGGCCCACTGCGTTTTCTATAATCTTTTATCCTCTGTAGTTGTATTTCCCTAAAATTTACAAATTCCTTCGCTTTGAGATGATACCTAAGTTTCTGGTGAGCATTTTTTCCAACAAAAAGTATCTGGCTGTTCGTGTTTCTTCTGTGAACTTCATAACATATTTTTGCATCATGCACATTACAAAAGATGACGATAATTGCCAAATAGGTTAGGCTAATCTTAATCATGTTTTGGCTTCGCATCGGTTGAAATTATGACACTATATATCACCCGGCTGCGAAAAAGCATTAGCATTTTGATTTCTCATTTTTTGCACAACATGGGAAGGAGAAAAGGAAAAAGAGAAAAGGAAAAAAAAAAACAAAAAAACAAAAAAACACTGAACTAAAAGTAGGGAACCACGGTTTCAAGTCTTGGCTCCTACTAACTTGCTGGGTCATCTGAAAAAACGCGTTTGCACCTCTGTTATATAATATGGTTTGAAAAATGATGCAGTAAATAGTGAATGCCCATTTGGTGAGCTCCGCAATTGGCCAGGTTCCGATTTGGCGAACACGCCAACGTTCAATTTTTAATTTTAACCGAGTATGCATCCACCATTGGGGGGAAATTTCCCAAACCAATTGCATATTTTGCAGTGCGCTTCTGAACGCGCTTTTCATCCCATTTGCATCTCATTTTCATCGCCTGCTTGACCCATTTTTAACGCGCTTTTGCGTTTCACTCACCATAGCGCACAGCCAGGAAGGGGAAATCCATCCCTCGGTGCAGCGAGCAAAGACGCGTTTCACATTACATGCATACGGAGCATGCTAAACATACACGCGTACATGCATATGCATACGTACATATGCGTCTGTGCATACGCCATTTGACAGTTCTTCATTTCCCCTGATGCATGCTCACTCACATTTTTCTTCTCCCCTTTTTAGTTTAATGAGTGGACCGTGAACAACTACCAGTCATCCTTTACCAGCTACCCGGTACTTCTCACCCTTTATCCATTATCCCATCCTCCGTTATGACCCCTTCTCTGTTCACCCGGCGTCCATATTGATACACTGCGTACAGGCCGCGTGAACAAAATGTTGTAAAAAACAAAGAAGGAAAAATAAAATGCGGAAAATGTAGCAAACTCTGGGAGGGCACAGAAAAATGGAACGAAAAAAAAAAAAACTACATAAAGTGGAGCAGAATATAAGGGTATAATTGTTTATATACACACTTTTTTAAATGTTCTAGCAACCTATTTACTGATTACCCTCTACTTTTTGCAGCTTCCTGTTTTTTTTTTTTTTTTTGTTTTTTTTAATGCCCATGTGTCATGTCCCATCTTGGGAACAACAGTATGCAAGACTTTTTCAGGTCTACAATTTGGCAGCATTTGACACCCCCTTTTTTTTTCATGTCACAGTTTGGCAACAACTACGCACATCCCCGCTTGGGCAACATCATTCTGCATCTTTTTTTTACGTGGGATGTTGTCCTAATTTTTCACAATTTGTAAAAAAGGAGGAAAAAAAAACATGTGTTTGTATGTTTATGTGTTTTTTTTTCTTTTTTTTTTTTTTTTTCCTCGAAATAATGAAAAAATGAGCAATTAACTTTTTGCTTACTTCTTAACAAAGCCAATTCGAGGGATTCTTTTTTCCGAGTGCACATGCACGAGAGGTGTAGTCAGAGCGGAGAGAAGAACGCAGTGACGTAGAGCTGAAGTAACTACCCGCGCCGACGCGTTGGAACGTGTTTGCCCAAATAAAGACATATAGATAAACAAGAAAAAACACACAAACGCTTACGAACATAGGAACATACACACACGCATATGTCGTACCTGTATACGTGCCTCTAAATTTAAGGATGGAGGATGAAGCGATAAATTTCAAAATTTGCAACTTAGTTAACCCGAAAAGAGAAGAAGCGAAAGCCACGCGCCAGCAGTTTTTTGTCCGAAACGGAGCACACAAGGAGAAGGTTTATGCTAAAATTCATCAAGCCCATCAGCCATTTCATCATCAAGAAGAATACTTCTTGGCCAAGGAAAGAAAATCGGACGTGCACTTTGACATGCTTAAGCCGAATGACAAGGGAGAGAAAAATACAGTCGTTAAAAAAGATGATGCTGTAGGTAGAAGTGGAGGTGCTTCTGAAAGGGGCGGGACTGCTGGAAATAACGAGGCTGAGTCGTTAGCGAAAGAGGTACCCTTCGAGGAGAAATCCCTCGGGGAAGTCGACAGTGGAAAGCGGGAAGGAACGGTTGAGGAGGGAGAAACCCTCAGGGAGATCGATGCCCAGGAGAAGGACCATCAACGGGAGGTTCTCCAAAATGATGGACCCCAAAATTGTGACATGCAAAGGTGCAGCTCTCCAAACTGCCCCACACACGGCTGCAACAAACCGTGCCGATGCGCGCAAATTCCCATCACGGAGAAACAGCCCTGCGCAGAAAAAGGAAAAAAAAACAAAAAGGGAACCAACGTAAATTATATAGTGCACTACAACAGGTATAAACCCACCAGGATAGCTCCCACATTTAGCAAAACGAAAAATAACCCCCCAGTGGTAAAAAAAAATAAAAATCAATATATTAATTGCAATTTCAGATACTATGTGAAGGAGAAAAATTACTTGACACAAAGCGCAGATGAGAATATAAAATGGGAGCAGATCGAAAAAGTAGACTACATGGTGTTTGACAATACTACGTTAGCATGTCCAATATGTTTAGAGGACAAAATAATTTCGCCTAGAATTACGAAATGCAGACACATATTTTGTTTTTTCTGCATTTTAAAATATTTCATCGATGAAAAGAAACAGATGTGGAAAAAGTGTCCCATATGTTTCGAAATAATAAACGAAAATGACCTAAGAGCCGTCAAATTTCACTACGTAAAAAATTACAACATCAATGACAGTATCAATATGTGCCTTCTTTACACAGAAGATAAAAAAATCCACTTAAAATCGGACAGACTATATTTCAATAATAACTTCAAAGTAACAAATAAAAATCTTGTCAAAAATAATAAAACAGGGGATTATAAATATATTGTTAATATAGATTATATGAATAAAAATTTAACGACCTTTAGTCGAAATCACACAAATAAAATTTCCAAATTAAATCTCAATTTGGGCATTCAGTTTTCAAAGCTTTTTTACTTATACAATCCTCTGTCCATATGGATAAAAGATCTCAACATTTTTAACTTCATTTTGACGAATAAGAATATGCACTTCTTCGCGTCAGACCCGAATGTCATCGAGAAGGCCATAGCAAATATTAAGTTAAAAATCAGCGAGTATTTAAATATCCCCATTGAAAGGATGAACCCAGAACTGAACTTGGACGACCCGTCCTTCGACTCCTTTTACCTTTATGACAATTTGGCCCACGACGTTTATGTAAGTTGTTTTTCGCTTGGCGAGTTGCAGTTACTCACCATATGGAAAGGGTGAAATGGTCAAATGGTGAAGCTGTTATTTGGTTTCCACGCAAAGAGCGTTTCATTCATATATCCTTTTTTTCCTCTTCTCCCACACAGGATAGCATTGAACAAATAAAAAATGAAATGAAGATCGAAACGGAGCTGGCGAAGAACCAGAAATCGCCCGCGCAAGAGAAATGTCCACTCGATTCAGAGAAACCCACCAATCAGGGTTCCCCGGACTTGAAGCATTTAAACCGTTCGTACATAAAGGGAAAAAAAAAAATAAAAAAATAAAAAAAACAAAAAAAATAAAAACAAAAAAAAATGTCTTCATATATATCTGCGCTTGTAAACGAAAAGGCAATGACCAATTTGGTGGTACCCGCTTGCACTGCCCCCCCATTCATGCATGTACCATGTGAAATTTATTCATTTATTTACTCATTTATTTGTTAATCTTTTTGTTTCCTCCGCCTCCCCCCCCGAAGAGACCTACTTCTACCAGTGTATCGATGGGCAGTGTATATTCCTAGACCCCTTCATTTTGAAGTACTGCCTCCACAAATGCGTAACGCGCAAATGCGAAATGTGCGGATGTGCAGAGGTGCAGTTCATTCTGTGGCCGTTCTCTCCTACAACCCCTTGCATGTGATGATGCATGTTAGAATATCCAGCTTCGCTTGACACTCACCGGCATGTTCACTTCTCCACCTTCCCCTCAGCTTACTCTTTTTCGAGTGTGACAACAGCATGAACAGGATGCCCAAGTTTCTCTGCAACAGGCAAATCACCTACATTGAGACCTTCGAGCTAGATGAAAAAATCAGAAAAAGGTAGCACAGATGGAAGTACTGAACAAGTATATCCGTGAAAATTTTCTGCTTTTTTTTTTTTTTCTTCTCCCCCTTTTAACACATTTTTGTGCCTGTTTCCCCGCCAGGCACGCTATTTTGTCCCACCTGCCGCTTGGCGTTAACGTCCTGTTCGTTTCGATCAACATAGGTTAGTTCACGAGGCCCATTTTGACACCACGCTTTTGTGAATGTTCCCCTCTTTTCCCACACATGTTTGTATAATCCGCACATTTTGTTCTTCCTTGCACAGATGATCTCCTATCGGAAAGGACCAAAACGCATTTTTCGGTAGGCATAAAGAAAAAGCAGCGAAAGGGAAAATGCTACTTTTTTTTTTTTATTTTTTTGCATTTCTTTCTTTCAATTTATGCTTACAAAACATAGAAGGAAATATCTGAGAGGAAGAGGAAGCACCATTCTATTTTGAGAAAAAAAATGAAGGAGGAAAAATACTTTAAACTACTAGCCGTAATCAACGAAAATGGAAAAGAGAAAAAAAGAAGCGAAATGGATACAAGAGAGGGAGAAAAATAACTCCAACACCGGAATGGAAGAAAAGAGAGAAAAAAGAAGATGCATCCCGATCTCTATATTCCAAATCACACCCACCGTACTTTACACACTTATGCCAACCTCGTAGGACGAAGAAATAGACAGGAAGGAAAAACGCTACTGGAATTTGCCCAACAACACGATAAACATACAGAGCGACACCATCAACATAAGTTCCAGCATGTTAAGGTAGCTTAGCCACACTGAGGGGGAAAAAAACATTCGAATGTGTCACGTCACCGTTTGGATGACGAATCGTGTTGCTATAAACATTCCCATACCACATTTAGACAATTAAATACACGCATGCGCGGATACTAATGCGCATCTCCCTGTGTCTACGTTAGTAAGTATTTTCAAGACCATTAACATTTT